TTGCATAGCAGATATGTCAGAGGTTAGCTTGGGGCGTTAGCCAGACTGGAACATATAGAAGAAGCATCGTGTAGAATACAGGGTATCACCTCCACAGGCATGCTCGGTTAGAGCACGCTTACATGTGTTTATGACAATTTTGACCTCCAGAATAAATTTTAGTTAAAAAAAGAACGTTTCATTCAATGCTGAAGCCAGTGCTGATGTGGCCATTAATTAAAGGCGCACATGAAGGAAATAATTAAGCAAAAATACACCACGCTAAAGGTTTTATAAATCATAAAAAAAATTATGTGCTATATGCGTGTGCAAAGAAATATATACAAAATCAGAAGCAAAAAATCAAAAAATAAAAATAAAAACCCAGGCATAAACTGTGCCAAACGAGCGGCTCACAGGTTGAACAGTTGAGCACAGTTGAACATGGCGGGGTCTTTAGCAATCATTTCTTAGGTCATAAGCACAATAAAAAGGGGTACCCACCCGCCGCACAACACAGCTCGAGAGCACAAAAGGACCAAGGACCAGAGGGCAGCCCGTTTCATGCATGGGAATAATTAAGCCATAAGCCTCGACCTCTTTCTTGCTCTCGCTGCGAGCTACAACTTTCTTTCTTTCTTTTTCGCCCGGCCGACTTGTGAGCTTGAAATATTTACACCTAAAACCAAATAATAAAGACCCCGAAATTATTTATACCCGCACGCACGCTCAGACTTAGGAGCCCGCCGCTGACAATAGGCGACGAATGGACGCACGTCGATGGCCGAGTGGCCGAATGGCGGCGATAAGTCACCAGCCATGCCACTTCCGCACGAATGTTGCATAAAAATATTTAGAGCCTGGCGGAGCTATCAAGCAGCAGGAGAGGGGCGTGGGGGGGCACATAGAGATTGCGGCCAGACAGAGGCGGGGTTGGGTACCCAGTACTCGCCCTTATGTACGTGTTTACTCGTATTTAGTCGTAATAAACAGCAAAGAGCGGAGGGCGAAATAATAATAATAATAATAAAACTATGAAGGACACATAAATGAGGCAAAAATATACCAATTGAAACTATTTAAATCAAAGCCAGCGCATGCGAGCCGTACGACAGGGCAGGACAAGGCAGAGCATCAGGGTATCCAAGTATCCAAGGGAGCGGGCGGGCTGGCGACTGGATAACAGCATCTAACGAGCGAAAGGAGTTTGCTCTACCCCAGTTTTTTCTTTTTGCAGGAAATATTCTCGAGTATGCTCGTAGCTCAAATATGCAAAAAGCTTGTGTCGAAAAGTGGGCAGGGCAAAGGAAATTGCGAGTATTATTATGACTTTTATTAATTTTCCTTGCCATACTGGTTTTGGTTTTTCATTGCTCGCTTTTCCTTGCTCTCTCTCTCTCTCTCTCTCTGTCGTTCTCTGTTGCTGCCCCCCTCACCTATCCTTAGGGTCTTTTGTTTCAACTCTACAACGTGCTCTGGTATTTTTTTCTTGCCCACCACGAGAATAATGGCAACGGCTGTGTCCAGTTCAAGTTTTTCACTAAACAACTTTGCACGCACGCGTTGGCCAGCACCAGGAACAGAAGCAGAATCAGAACCAGAACCAGAACCAGAACCGGGAGCACTAGAGACCGTCTTCAGCAGCGATTGTGGGCTTGCGGTTCGGCTTTGGATTTTTGATTTATGCGCGCTAAAAAGTTTAAATTGTGTGCTCCGCAGTAATCATTTCGCCAAGGCATAAAATCGGTAAAGTTTTATTAACAAGTTGTGTGTGCAACGAGTGCGACATCCGACGACACACAACAGAGCCAGACAAAGCGTTCCGGCCGTAGTATGGGCCCAACACAATGGCAATGGAAATTGAAAATATGGTCATAAGTTGCCGCTGCTCACAGAACTATGCAGCAGCACCAAGCCAACCAAAGACCAGACCATTTCCCATAGTTTAGACCAACAATGGGAATATTTGGTCGACTGTTTTGCTTTCATACCAGCTCGACACATGAAATGGCCACAGAGCACAGATACGTACATATATGCGAATGTATCTGTTGCACCTTTAATTGGCGCGGTCAACAGGCCAAAATATAAATATAAAAATACGAGTTTGTTTCGAATAACTCGATTCGGCTATATTTATAAATGTGTATGTTGTGAATTGTGTGTTTAGTTCGCCGGTCATCGCTTTCGAGTACGCATTGCACATTGCAGCGCCTGTTTGGATGCTCACCAGGGCTGACAATTTTTGCTGCTACAAAGCTAAGTTCAGTTTTAAGAGTAGCTTAAAATAGCAAATTAAATTGGAAAGGCGGTTGTATCTCAAACTTGCAAAGAGCTGCATTGGCGCGCTTTTCTTTAAAGCCCTTGAAAAGGTTCTCATGCTTGTTTATTCAATTCATCCAAAATCTGGTTCTTTTGTGTCCAAGTGCTCAAATGATTATTGTTAGTAGACTTTGTGCTAAATGCTATTATTGTTTTAGTCCCAGCTTTTTTAATGCAGTGCTTTAAGTCTTGATTATCCATGCAAGCATATATTCTGTTTGTTTTATTTCACAAATTCAGTCAACCTAGAAAACCTCGGAAAATCGCCAAATTTAGCTAGAAAATAGCCGAATTGGCATCACTCATATTTGTATTTATGTTTTCACAAAATGTATCTGAAAGACCAGAAGTATCTGTGTGCACACACATTTGCAAATATTGCCTATTCGTGAATGTTTGTTGATTGAAACACAGAATCTCAGGTCAAAAGCGTATTAATTTTTACACGTTACTCAATCCGCTTAGATTTGGGCCAAAATTGATTGCAAAAACATAACAATATTTTCACATTTGAGTTTTACTCTCTCTGTATGTTTGACCAGCTGTGCGTAAATTAAATTAAATATGCTTCAAGATTGAAAATTCCACACAAAAATCTACGATGATCCAAATCAAAGAAACAAAATTATTATACTCTGTACCTTTACCTTTGCCTTTAAATTTATTTTCGTACTTAATTTTGCATTATAACTGAATAAGTTTTACGATAGTGGAAAATAAGCTGAAAACTGTTGTATTTCTGATCGGCTTCGAATTAATTTTCAAATAAGTGTGTAAACAGTCAGAAAGCGTTTCTTTGAATGTTTGATTCTTAATTCGATGAAAATCATTTTCGAATATCTGTGTAACATAAAACTAAAGACGTGGAGTTGAAAATAGTACGGATAGATTTATATTGTCTACGAGCAGGAAAGGGCTAAAACTTTTTGGTTGAAAATTTGAAGCGTTAAAACTTGGCCCGGGCAAGTCCGGAAAATAGCAGCTTGCCTGATAAAGCAGTTCGATACTTTTTGATGTTGCTTGCATGTTAAAAACATTGCCATTAAGTTAGCTTTGATATTGAGAAACTCGTTTTTGATGGAGTCCGAGCTGTCTTCTTCAAATGTGTTACACATTTCAACACAAAGTGCTAATACCTTTGCAAGGGTATTAAATAACAGCACATACTAGCAATATGGACGTTGAAGAAAAAGCATTGGCAACGGTATCAAAGCGAAAAACTTGTGAAAGCTCGAGGTCGCATTTGGTTTTTCTTTTTTAATAAGCTTCAGGAGTATGGGAGTTGATAAGAGTGCGTGCTACTTGCAAATGAAACACAAATGCTACCAACATGGTAATAAATATCCATACAAGCCACTTCAAAGTGAAAAGCAATAACCCAACTACTACAACAACTTACTGAGAGCGGAGCAATAGCTGGCGAATACAACTGCACGTTCCGGACAAAATGCCTTAGTATGCATAGCAATACCAATATTAATACCAATACCAATACCAATACCAACAGTACGGCCAATAGCTATACCCTTTCCCTTACCTATGTCAATAGCCAAAGTACAAGCAACACACTAAAGGAAACACACCATAACCAATACCAACGGAAAGCCAAACACAAAGAGCGAAAGTGCCGAATTTGATGGTGTGCGTTGGAAAAACCAAGAGTTTTCCCTTTGCAAATTGCACAGTGTAGCCGAAGTTGTTGAGCGTCGAATTCAAGTGAAAGTTATATCTGCTAACAGGCATACTACGGTAGAGTAGTAGTTGCATTCAAATATATGTTAATTATTAAAGACAATTATTATGTTCATATAACTGCATCTATGCTCAATCGCAGACGTAACTTCCTTAGACTCTGACTAGACCTTGGCATCCTTTTAGCGCTGTTGACTTGGGTAGAGCGCCACTCAACGACAAGTAGCGGGACTACTGAGCAATTGATGAACGAACACTGAAGCAGCTACTACTATTGCCACAGCTACTACTACTATTAGCACTACTGCTACTGCTTATACTACTACTTAAACAGCAAGCAAGTGCGCAAGAAAATGGCAGCTAATGCTGGCGGCTCGAGATCAGTGTTGCTGATTTGGCAAAACAATAAATGAATAGGAGTAAACTCTCTACAAAATGTGTAAAGGTATGCGAGTGTGTGTTTGTGTGCAAACTGGGCTCGCCATGAAATACGATTGAGCGTCAAGTTGGTAATTTGAATATGCTTTATGTATACGACACGTGTATTATACACGCTATTGCCATATATATGTTTATATATATATAAATATGGTCAGTTGTCGGTGGATAGCGTAACGTAAGGTAACGTAACGTCGAGTAGCGTGACGTCGCGTGGCATGGCGTGGCTTGGCCTGGCGTTCCGAACACGGGCGCCTTTCGATTTTGAAAATTTAGCCACTTAACTGCAGTCGTTAGGTGAACGCCAAGGAAACCAAAGCTAAGTGCGAGCCAAGGAGCTGACGGACAAAACAAAAAGTTGAAATAAACTACGCGTCGTGACTCTCAACGTGGCGATAAACAGTGTGACCCGCGCTGAGGACTATGTAGCATCCAGTGTTGCATAAGCGCGATCTGGCTTGAAACGCGCACTGCTTGCACTGGGCAGGCAATCAACTAATTTAAAGTGCTATTAAATTAAAATGGTTTCAATTAACACATTTTAAAACGGCAAGCAGACACAGTGAACATTTAAGCCATACTACACTTGGCGGGCGAGAAAACTACGTTTATTTATTATTAACTTAATGCTGTGCACAGTTGTTGTTGTTGTTGTTGTTATTGTTATTGTAAAGAAAAACTGCAACTGCAAGTGAATTAAAAGCAAAGAGCCAACTAAAGTGCGCAAACAGCCGCGCCCACAGGGCTCAGAACGCCCAACACTCAACAGCCAACAACCAACTCAACCGACTCATCAACGGCCAGAGAAAACTTTCGCTCAAATGTACATCGACGAGGATAGCGAGGAAAGTTCGCCCTTTGTGATGCTCACATCGCCGACCAAGTCTTGGGTCAGTGTTCACTGTAAACAATGAGGCCACTCGCCCACCAACCCACCAATCCATCCAGCAGTTCTCCATCCACCGGCACACATCTCTTAATTTCACATTTTTTTTCCTGCCATTTGACGTATACAGAGTCAAGCTGGAAAAAAAAGAAACTGGAAAAAGTTTAAATGACTTTTGTTGTTTTTCTAAGTGTTTTTTAATGGTCTACGTGTGCAGGCTGTGCGATTGCTATGCTTTTTTTTTACCACCCAGCGTATGCGCAATTTTAAATATTTGACTTAAGGTCCTTGTGTGTGTCCACAAACGAATATATCGTTTTATATGTGCAATACTTTAGTGGACGGGACCTTCAATTTAATTTGCTTGAACGAAAACTCCATATATTTCATTGAAAAAGAGAGCTGGTCGGAGGAAAAACATAAGAGTAATAAATTTTTTTGACAACCCTATAAGCCAGGTTTTTATTTCTGTCCAGTAAGGTGAATTTTCCGCAAAGGATGAAACACGTATTCAGTTATTAACATGAAGAGGAGCTCAGAAGATATGTGTGAGGCAGGCTGAAGGCGTAAACAACGAATAAGTTTCATACAATAGTTTTCCACCAATTTTGAGCCCCGGCAGAAACAATTTTCCACTTTAATTATAGGGAGCTGTGCAAAACCATAACAAACAGAACTTCACCAATAAACAAACAACAGACAAGTTTTGCTATATATTTGTACGTCGCTTTCTCAGGCTCAGATTTAATCTACTGACAATAATAATAATAACAATATTAATCCACACGAACTATCGGCTCGACTGTATCACACTCGGAGAAAAGGCCAAGTGTTTGATTTATTAGCCGAATACCAGAAAAGAGTCTTGACCTCATATGAACAAGCATTTATTTGTTTACAAGATATTTGTCAGACAATTGTTTTGTTTACGGCAATAAAATGCAATATCCCCGAGCAATAATAATAACAACAATCAAGTGGCTCATCCTAAGTGGGCGGAAAGCTTGGACGCCGTTTGGGACCGCCTGCTGCTGTATATTACTAAGTCCTTGTCGATTGCTTCAATGAATTTTCTGCGAGGCTGCACCTCAAACGAAGGGCTTTGAAGTTGCGCTTACATTTCGCTTTCGTACTCGCACTGGTGGCTTTTCCAAGTTGCTCAAAGTTTAATTGAGCGCGTAATTTAAGCTTTTGCTAAGCTATTTGCTTAGTACCATAGCTATAAGTGCGTTAGTTAAAGTGTGCTCTCATACCATTGCAGAAGGTACTATAATTTAGTTGACGAAATGTGCATTGGCTGAGAGAACCCACAAAATATGTATGTGCTCTCAATCAGGAGCACGTGAAGGAGAATTGTTTTAACTAAGCTGTCTGGCTGTTTTAATTAAATCTTTAGCCCAGTATAGCTATATATTGGATTCATTCGGATCGGATCATTTTGACAAAGTAACTAATGATCGAAAATTAAATTTTTATTTGCTTTTATACGCTGAATTCTTTGACTTATTACTAGTGACATCAAATATGGTATGCAGGCTTTCTTTTAGTCAATAATTGCACCGACACAAAATTCAATAAATCTCATTTTTAAAGGGTAATGGTATATATAAAGACGTAATATATTCCGTAAGCCATTAAACATTGTGCTTTAGTTAATCTAACATCAGTTTTCCCATAGAGTTTACTCTAAGAGACAATCTCTATTTGCGTCATTATTAGCTCGTTAAATGTACAAAGAACTGGCTGGACTTCAGCTCCAATATCTGAGCTTTTTACCTACATATATATTTACAATACATATTCAAATTGCAGGTACAATTAAAATTGGCCAAAACTCGCATACAATGTAATAATTATCTGTATCTCTATATAGAAAACTCGTATTTTAATATCTTGCTTTTATATTCATATGCCTTTGTTAATTTAACAAGCTTATTTTCAACATTGCGAATTATAAAATGATTTCACAGCGTGTTAGCCAGCCATTGTTGGATCGAAAAGTCATTATTATCACAGAACATATATATATATATTCTATTCATGTATATATTCTATTCAAGTTCACATATACGATTATTTGAAAATAGGCATTAAGGTGGCTACGAATCCCATTTAACATTTTACATCATTTTGTTGAATTTCAATTAAAAACTTTGATTTTGATTGTATATATATATATGTATATATATTGCCAATTTGATATGTAGGAACGTGCGTATATTCACATTTTTATGTTTATTTATTTAAAGTATATTCCGACTCGACAGGCTTTGCTGCGTAATTGGGGTCAGGCTGGATGCCTGATGCCGTCACAAAGGCATGCACAAATGTTGGTTGAAGAATTGTGTTTTAAATGAATTTGGATTAATTACAATTTGGGTTTTTGTGTCTTGAGCTCCTGCGCCATTTTATTTTTAACATTTTTGTGTATAAAATTTAATTGAAAAGCCACACACGAATTAAATTGGAATTTTCAGCTCTAAATCAAGCACAGCAAACTAACACAATTTAAGCAACCGAATGTTCTCTAGTCGGGAGTGTCCGACAAGGAGATACCCTAATCCTTCTATTGCCAAAAACACAAGCTGCCAAACTGAGGCCAAGTTTCGGTGATTTAAAATAAACCTGATCTTCATACCCTGCTTACCTATTTTCAATGAGTCCAGGGTATAATTAGGAAAAAGCATCGATTACATCTACTCATGTTTTGTATAAATACATCAACTGATGTTTTGCAAATAAAGAATAGTTGCCGCAAAAGTTTGTTCCGTTGGAAATTTGCTTTAAATATTATAAACAATATGTCCATGTTAAGCATTTTATATAGTATTTACTTACCTATCTACCGATCTACCCTGTGGATCTTATATCCATTAGAGTACGCAGTGTAATAAGCTGGAAAACTGAGTAAACTATTTATCATAGAAGCAGACAGATTATCTGGTCTAACCGGCAGATATAGAGTAGTTAATGCAAAAGTGACTTCAGAGGGAAATTTGAAATAATTATTATAATATGCCAATATTAAGAGTTTTATATAGTATAAGGTATTTAATCAGTTTTCGACCGATCTACCATGTGACTCATATCAACTAGTGTGTCGATCCGTTCTTTCCTGGCACATAAGCTTTAAAAGTGATAGAAACAACAAGAAACTAGCCTGCAAATGTAGAGTAGTTACCACAAAAGTGAGTTGAGTGGGAAATTCAATTTCAGCAACTCACAAGTACGCGTGACAACTTTCAGTATTTGGCCCGGCCTGTTCCCAACGAATGTATCCATGTGTCCATGGGTGGCGCGTCCCGCGAAACAATTTCATTAATTCCAGATTTGCGCGAAATTTTCACAAAAGACATCGGTGCGCCTACCCACAAACAATATATACACATACAAATACATATACACATACATATATACATATATATATATATATTGTCGCTGGCGGACTTTCAGAAAATTTACGTATTTTCCTATTTGTTTATTTCTCTTTCCGTGCACAGCCCGCTAGCTACGGTAAAAAGAACGGCATGTGGTACGCTTCGCCCGGAAATCAGGGCTGGGGCTCCAAGCCCGCCAGTCGAAAGCCTTCAATAATGGAAGCGGATTTGGGCACATTATCGACCACATCGGGCTCGATAAAGCGCAGCGCTGGTCGGGTGATACGCATCATCAATAATTTGGATCATTCCGTTCAGGTGAGTGCCGGGGCGCACAGTTACCCACAAATATACACACACACACGCACACATACATATCCATAAATATACAAACCTATGCAAGTATTGTACAAGCGATATTTATTGTTTCGTGCATCCATCAGGTCGTAATAATGAATGCAAAATTTAAATTTAAATGAAAAAACAAATAGAAAGGGGAAATTTTGGTTGCCTTTCAAATTTGTTATTCTACTGCAGAACTGATTGATTTATTTACTGCGCTTAAAATGCATATTGCTCTGAAATGTTTGTTTGCCCCTATAAACATATATATATATAACATATATTGGCCGACTAAATTGTCCGATTAGAATCCGTAACGGCAATGCACTAAAAGAATTGACAAAATCATCCGACAACATTAACTGCATTTTACAAAATAATTAAAGTACTACGTAAATGATATGAATAAATCATTTTGTTGAAACTGGAATAAGTTACATATGCTCTGTGTGATAAAATGTGTCAAATGTCATCGATATTTAAATGTAAAATGCACATTCGCATGCTTCTGGCTTCACTCTGCAAACAAAGCTTAGCTATTTTACGCATAAACTTGAAAAAAATGTTGAATATTCAACAGCGAAAATGTGCAAATAATGCCATTAATGCATTCATATACATACACATATATTCATACACATATAAATACCACAGTTGCCACATGGATATATCTATGCCACAAGGTGTTCACCTGGGCGAAAAATTCAAATGTATTTTTAACCAATTCGCTTTTGAACTTGGATTGTTTGCGTTTTAAATCTTATTTGCTTGGCAATTTCTACCCCCGGCTCGCTTACATACTTAGCAATTTGTGCAAATATGTGTTTGGGCTTTCGATAAATAGTTTATAGCCGCTTATTTATTTATTTTTGTCTGCATCATTGATTTGTTGCCGTTTCTCACTTTCATAACATACCCTTGCAGTAAGCTATCGTAATAACATATTGTTTTAAAAGATCATATCCGACTTTGTTGGCAAACAATTTGTTGTTGGGATCAAAATCCGTTTGTTGTCCACATTTTGGATGGATCGGATTCCGTCCTAGTTTTGGTTCTACTGTTTTTCAGTTTAACGAGACTTTTTTGAGTTTCTGACGAGTGCCCAACCCCAATAGCTTTACACACATAAGATTGGATGGTGCAATTCTCTCAAATAGTGATCAATAATTTTTGTATACTTTTTGGGGCTGGAGATGCTCTCTGTTGCCTGTTACATACATTTACGCAAAACGAATATACCCTTTCTAGTAATTTTCAAAAGGTCCAGGGTACAAAAAGTGTTAATTGTTGATATGATAATTAAACAATTATTTTACGTAATTAATCTAGTACAGTTCCGACTTTTCCTTTTGACTGTTCGACAAGTAAATAACATGTTTACCCATTTTCCCTCTAAGAAGGCTGTATTTTCCCGTATGTGGAAAATGCCTCAAACAAGATTTAATTATAGAACATATTAAGTCGGAAAAGATTGCTACCAGAACTTGGTTATATATATATAAGCGACCGAAATATATCCGACCGAAATATATATATACCGACCGAAATATATCCGATCCTATAAAGTGCGAGCTGGTATTTCCCAGACCCATGCCCCGTCCAACTTTTTTACTTCAAACTCTAGACATTGATTTTACACGTATTTCTCGGCCATGGAGAAGTGTTATCTACTTTTACTATCTTAAAATCGAGGTCTAAGGTTCTACATTACATAAACATTTGAAAATCAGTTTGATGTCCATTGAATTAGGAACCAAAGGTGGGAATCAAGGGTTTTCGCCCATTTCAGTTACGCTTGAAAACTTTCGTTCGTACAACCTTAGACCTCCCTTTTCCGAAAATTGTGAAACATGCGCTGAAACGACCTTCAATCCGAAACTTCATCCGTCCAATCATTGCCCTAATTTCCATCAAGTAGAAATGGATTATGCGTAGTTTGAAACAGCTCTTGCATGAATATGAGCAAAGATCTTTGATCATGATTTTTTCTGTTGAAATTTCCCAAAAATCCCTCCTGGTGTGCAAATCCCTAACATAAGATAACTACAGTAGCTCAGCTGCATTTCGCTTACAGTCAGTCAGTCCGTCGAAAAATTTTCCTCTCCCCAAAATCTTCTATTCCCAACGAGAACACTCTTACTTAGTTTTAAAAGCAGTTGAGGTGCGTCACAAAGGTCAATAGCTGCATTTCACTTTGACATTCAAATGGATTGTAGGCGTACAAGGCAAGCATGGCGCAATTAACCTTTGCCTACTTTCGGCACACACCCATAAGAATGCGGCAATCATATGGAAAATCAATTGTCTGCAATTTGTATTTTATTATATGCATGCAATGGCGGCCCCAGAAACAAATTGAAGCCACGGCCAATTTGGGTGGTCGCGTCGAAATACGAAAATCCAGACCGCGTCTGGCGGCTCCCACCTAGGTGTGCAGCAGGGAAACTCCGTTGGGTCTGGCGCCGCAAATGTAAATTCTCCCAAAAATCTCCTCTCGTCTCTGTGCTGGGGTAATATTTGCTACTTTCATAACCAAAGTGGCCCCAAATATGAATTGGCATGCGATTTCTACTCCGCTTTTCGGACTATCCTCGCCTGGCTGCCAATGGGCTTGGGTCTGGGTCTGGTGTCGGTTACGGATAGGTTGGTTTCGTGGTCGAGGCAGTAATAATGTTTTATGGTAATTTCGCTAAGTGCAACTCAATTTTTTAGCACTCTTTGGGTAGCGCGAGAGGCGCGTGATGTTTTATGAATAAAAATACGTTAAATTGTGGGCGTTGAGCGTACAGACTGAGCTATAGTATATACAAATTTGTACCAAACACTTTGCACATGAGTACGGGTACATTATACAGGTGACGTTAGCGTTTTGCAAGGTTATTTAACTATGCATCTTGCCGACAAAACTATTTGTCGAGGTCAACAGGAATCTAAAGGGATGACTCACGAAAACTCGTATAAAATTAAAGCTACGTGTTGAAAAGTGCTTAGTACGGAAACATCACACTCCTTTCGGGTTTGTGTGTGGTGAGCAATTAAACCCATTCATGTTATTCTCGTTTATGTGTTATGAAAATATAAAACTAATAAATGTGCAGAACAAATAGAAGTCGCATTGAGGCCAAAAAGCTATCAAACAATAACCACAGAATCGACCACTGCTCGCCAGGCGCACTCGTTGAGGTTAGCAATGCAAATTTCACTAAAACACACAGACTTCCAGCAAGAACAGCAACAACAGACAGAACAGCAACAAGAACGACAAAAGGAAATTGTAGTACTTTGAAGTTTCTGTTGTTGCAGATGCTTGTTTCCCGCACGGACCCGCCTCCATGGCCAACCAAGGCCAAGGACATGTCCCGTCGTCGTCTACAAATGAAACGGGCAACATTGCCAAATACTTTGCAAACCAACAACAACAACATAGACAAACAGCTCGAGAATATGAGTATAGGACGTGCATATGCACATAGAAGCCGCCATTTGGCGATTGCATTACCCGTGCCATGGATTGCGTACTCTCGCACTTGGCCACTATTCCAATTGTGCTCGGCACTGCGGCTGTATTTGTTTGCCTCTGCACTTCTGGCCATTGTGGATCTGCTACTCTGCCACTGACTCTGCTGCGTCCCCTGCCACAGCGAATGGCGTGCTGTAGTCTCTTGGCCTGGCCTGGTGCTAAATAATATTTGGCAGCCCAAAGTACCACGTGCAACGTGCCGCATTGCATTTTGATTCTTCTTTCAACTTTGTCGTGGAAAGTTTCGTGCTGACGTATGATCAACTTTGCATTTCACTTATTATTTCGGCACACACATGAAAACTTGTTCTGTTTTCCATATGCACATGTCGGAGCCTCGCAGGCGTATCGAACAGACAACAAAGACAGGCCAGCAAAAATGGCAACAACACCTGACGTCCATGTACATACGTTAAATGACGGCAAACATAAAAAGTGCTGGGCCCTGAAAAAACACGCAAAAATCCTACAAAGACCAAAAAGCCCCGCCTAGCTAAGAATGTGCTGCAAGAGTGGCATGTCCATCTAGTCACCCATCAAGCGGCTTCAAGGGATGACAAGAGCTACCGCAATTTCCAAAATGATGATACAGTTGATTTAGTCAATAAAAAATTTGAGCAGAAACACACTAAGAGAAACCCAAGCCACAAGCTGCGGCAAAGCTTATTCTTTCTTTAACAACTCCTTTGCTTATCGGTCTTTTTATCCTTGCAGAGGGTATTATTACTATGGTCCATGTTAGGTCATCCTTCTTGTTGCAGGCAGTGTCTCTCCTAGAAGACGGCCTGCTCTAACCAACCACTATTTCATAAAGTTGTTGCAAGACTCGATCGATATTTTAGCCATCTTATCTATTTTAACTCAGCGATAAGGAAACTCAGGTGGACAATCATCTTAGCAATGTCAGCTTCTTATATATTATATAAGCGGGTATTTCAGGGCCTTGCTCTTGGCAAGTTTTGTGCTTTATATTTTATATACTTATATGTACATTTTTAACCTGTCCGTAAATATCGTTCCGAAGAATCGATACCGCTATCTATTATTTAAATTAAATATAATCCGTGTTGTTTTATTCTAGCTCCTTTGTCTTGAAAACAAAAATACCCTTTTTAACTATTTTCAAAAAGCATTGGGTATCAAAATGAATGAATGTTATGGATGACGGTACCTTCTAATATTTCCGATTGTTTATACGAGATTGATAAACATCGATTTTCTGATTTATTTTTTAATGCCAGAGCCACCAAATTCGCAAACTGTTGAAGCTCGCTTATTAAACAAAGATTAAGAATTTTTCACTACGAATAAATTTAATATTTTGTGGGGCTGTGTGAAGAAGATTCACAGCCGCTGCATAAAGTGCGGGCCATGTGGTGTGCGTGCTTATGTGTGTGTGTGTGTGTGTGGGGTGTGTGATGTGTGTATTGAAGTGTGCTCCAATGAATGATATGGCCATAGTTGCCAGGGATACATAAAAGGTTGGGTTGAAAGCTTATAACTATTTTACATAACAATCAAATTAAAAATAATAATGGTATTATAATAATATCAAAAATATTCATAAAATTAATAGTAATTATGAGGGGAGTAGTCACTTTTTGGGCAGATACAAACGGATGTGTGTGAATGTGCTCTGTTAGTAAGTTGTGAAATTAAGAAAGCTACAGATTTAAATAAAAGACTATTAGTCGGGCACTCTTGAAAGGATTATTTCGCACAATTGAATAATGCGGACCTTCTTTAAAGATCGAACCGTATAAAATGACTTCGGCTTTGTGGTTGTATTAGTCATCAATAAAATAATCAAGTAGACTCTTGTGAATAGAATCTAAACTAAAAACAGAGTATTGCGCAGTCGCTTGCAGCCGACTGTAACGTTCTTACCCATCTTTTTTTCTGCAACAAGTCATCCACTCCTTTGGCAGTATAGCGGTCCTTTGTTTTATGCAGATATTTCAGTATTTTATTGAATTCTTTTGTGTCAACCGGATGAAGGAGTCGCACAAGTTATTTAAAAAAAAAATAATAAAAAAAAATATCCGTGATTTAACGTCACAGAAATGAAACGAACCATGAGATGGTCCGAGCCAGCATCGATTGACATGGGGCTTGGACAAGTGTTGGTAGTACACAATGGAGCCCATAAAAAATTGTTAAAATTTTAACTCATGCAGCTGTTGCCTGCTGCACATTCAATAACTGCGAATATGTGATGCGCCCGGGTATGCGGGAGTACGGCAGTACGGAAGTACGGGCGTACGGGTAAGGGTAAATACGGCTTCCTCTTTCCGGCAGCTGTTGGTTGGCAGCCGCACCCAACCCCTCGCCAAAAGTGCACGTAATTGGCTTAACAAATGCCATTTGTTTGGGGTTCGCCTGATTGGAGCTGCCAGCGTAATGTAATTATTTGCACACATAATTATGTTTGTTTATACTGCAGCCGTCAGCCATCTTGAGTGCAGCTGGGCGTGTGTCTCCGGGTGAATCCTTGTAATTTGGGAGCTTACACCTACGCACACACACGCACACAGACAGGCCAAGAGGGAGACATTTCAAATATGTGGCCTTCATGCATAATTTGTGTACAGCTTGCAAGTTGCCGAGAATAACACATCGAAGTGGAATTTTCAAAATAATACAATAGCTTATAGTTGCATATTTGGCTCGGGTCTATTCGTTCAATCAGCTGAAGAAACTCTTCACCAAAGCAAGCAGCATAACAGACCAAGGACCTGGCTGGTCCCACATATCATAGATTCTGTGCTCACAACAATGTGTGCCTCAGGTGTTTCGATTTGATAAACAATCAACAAATCGTGATTAATAGTGGTTTGGCGGGTAGGCATACATCCAGCGCCCGGCCCGGCCCACGAGTCCACTAACGACCATTAAAGCCAGCTGGTCTAAATGGTTTAGTCGGACTCTTTTTGCACAAATATTTCAAAATCAAATTGATGGCCGTCAAAGTCGAAAAAGCCAAAAAGGGATGAGACGTGCAAGTAGTTGTAAGGTAAAAATTTAGCAAGTAAGGGCGCAAGGGCTCATATTCTAGAAATAAGGCTCGCATCTGCAGTTTTAAAATGTTTAATGCTTTAAAGCTCAAAGACTTGCATTTGTCTTTTTATAACCTGAACCTGTATCCTTTAACTACATATGCAAGCTTCCGAAAAAAAAACTGTTCTGAACCAAACTATTTTGTTTCCAAAGCCCTTTCAGAGTGTAACATACTTTTGGCATGAGTGTACATATTCTTTTACTTTACAAAACTTTTGCTTAGATCTGCCATTTTGTTGTAGGCAGTACATATGCCAGAGTCGGCCGGATTGTTTCAATACATCAAATAAGTGACTGCCATAGGATGAGTAGATAATTAGGTTCTTGGCTCAAAAACTTTCTTATTTGTTCAACATATCTTGACCAACTCTAGCATTTACGAGCTTTAGTAAAAAACTATAGAAACATATTAATTTATTGTTTGAAAATCTTATTTGTTTTTCACAATATCTTAAACATATTTGGCATTTAAGGTTTTCAGACGGAAGAAATATTAGAATTGAAAGTGTTTGATGTCTTGTTTAAAGTCTTTTAACGTGTATTATTTCATCTACAAGTATACTTTATAATTTATGCAAAATTTCTGAAATTTATGATTCAAAAGTAACGAGATAAAAAATGCCCTCGAACAGAAAACTGTTCATAATTTTGGTGGCAGCTAAATGAATCATCAGCCAGCTCTCAACACGGATATAAAACCATTAGACGCATTTCCAAAGAATATTAACTGAATACATAAATTAGATTCAGTTCATACAAACTGCCAAAGTTAGTCCTGTTCGCGATTGTCGTCGCCGTGACCAGTGCAGATAAAGTTGATGCCAGATGCTTTAATTTCTACTCTTTGTTTTTTTTTGTTTTGTGCGCAACGTGGACTCGCGTGTCTAGCAGATATCAAGGCCTGGAGGTCATTAAAACCCAAGATGCACACTTCACACAAGCACCGAGAGCAGAAAGCTACAGAGCTAAGCAGCAGCTGGCCCAGCCAGAAGCCAGCAAATGCAACAATGCGTATCGCTCATCTGGGTGCGGGAGGCTGTGGTGTGTACATCCAATTATGAGCGCAAAAGTTTAAGTGCAACAACAACAACAACAACAACAAACAGAACGGCAAGAACAAGCACAAGTAGATGGCAAACAATGCTGGAATAGCCCGACGACCCCTAACAACTACAAATAATACCATTAAGCAGTGAAATAAAACGCAAAGTGGGTCACAGCCTCGGTTTGTGGGGCGAACAAGGAGCACACGAGGATGTTGGTGTCGCCATATAAGCATGCCCATATCTGTATATATAGTAAAAGCGCATAAATATGAATATGAGTGTGCGTGCGTGTGCGTGTGTGTGTGTGTATGAGCACGTAATTATAAATATTTGTTGCTAGCAACTTTGGTTACAAACTTGAAGTGTCATGGCCGGGGCAGCGGAAGCGGAAGTAGCGTGTCACGGCTAAGTTCCTGCCGCAGGCCAAGTGTTGAAAAGTCAACGCGCGCAGTCAATGCTACACAACATACTTGTGTGTGTGTGCGTATGTCCATGTACATATGTATTTTACACAGCCCAATAATTCACATTTTATGGCTCTGACTAATTACACACCCATAAATCCATAAATCGCCCTCTGGCACCTCGCCTATTAGATTAAACACGTCATTTTATATACACACATCTACATATATAAATCATATTTTATTTTCCTTTCTTTCTAGTGTCGCGTCCTACTGAACCTACGCACCTCGCAGCCGTTTGAGGAAGTGCTCGAGGATTTGGGTCAAGTGCTGAAAATTAACGGCGCCAAGAAAATGTACACAGGCACCGGGCAGGAGGTAAGCGCAGGCTTCTGTTCTCTTCCTCATTCTCTTCAAGCAGGTTGCGGCATAACAGCTTAATTAACATAGTCTAAAATATATAAGTAAATAAAATCCTTGCTAAATATCACACATTTGCAACATGCTGCAGGTACGTAGCTTTTCGCAGCTGCGCAACGAGTTTGCCGACGTGGACACATTCTATTTGGCTACTGGGACGGCATTGATCGCCGGCTCGCCAATTCGACGCTCGCGCTCACGCCCCTCGGTGGTAGCCGCTGCTCCCATCCTGCCCACGGAGGAGCTGCCGAAGGTTCCATTGCGTGGCACGCGGCCACGCAGCAAGAGCCGACCGCGCATTCTATATGCGCCGGAGAGCGAGATACTGAGGCCGAATGGAGAGTACACCATGCTGGACATAATGAAAGAGGAGCCCACAAAAGTTACCATACGCGGCTTGCGGCGCACTTTCTATCCCCCTGTGCACCATGCGCCGGCAGAGAATTCGCCTCCAGACAAGAAATTACAGCTACAGTGGGTGTAAGTAGTTCATTACACACGAATCTTGACGCATAAACACTGATTCTCCTCTCCTGCCCGATCTCTATATTAGCCACGGCTATCGAGGCATCGATGCGCGACGCAACTTGTGGGTGCTGCCGACTGGAGAGCTCCTCTACTACGTGGCAGCTGTGGCGGTGCTATTCGATCGCGACGAGGACGCGCAGCGACACTACACAGGTCACACCGAGGACATAATGTGGTAAGTGGGAGTTGTCAAAAACTCAATGCGGATCTCAGATAATGCCTACCCAAACCACACAGCATGGATGTGCATCCCTCTCGCGAATTGGTGGCATCGGGCCAGAAGGCCGGACGGGATCGCAAATCGCAAGCGCATGTCCGCATTTGGAGCACCGAGTCGCTGCAGACGCTCTACGTCTTTGGAATGGGCGAGCTGGACACTGGAGTAACCGCGGTGGCTTTCTCGCAACTGGTAAGGCTCGCCAAATTGAAATCAACTGACCAACAAGACTTACACAAAACACTTTTCAGAACGGCGGCAGCTATATTCTTGCCGTAGACAGCGGCCGCGAAAGCATCCTGTCCGTTTGGCAGTGGCAATGGTGCCACCTGTTGGGCAAAGTGGCCGTAAGTTGCTTATTAAATATACTTTCCTCTTCAACTTCAAGGAATTATTTTTATTTCCATACTGGCAGACTCTGCAGGAGGGTTTGTCCGGCGCCGCTTTCCATCCTTTGGATGATAATCTAATCATCACCCACGGACGTGGTCATTTGGCCTTCTGGCATCGTCGCAAAGATGGTTTCTTTGAGCGCACAGACATTGTCAAGCAGCCGTCGCGCTCACACGTTACCAGCGTTCAGTTCGAGCCGGATGGCGATGTGATTACCGCCGACTCCGACGGCTTCATCACCATATACTCCGTGGACTCTGATGGCGCCTACTTTGTGCGCACCGAGTTCGAGGCCCACAACAAGGGCATCGGCTGCCTGATTATGTTGGGCGAGGGCACTTTGCTGTCGGGTGGCGAAAAGGATCGTAAAATTGCTGCCTGGGACTCGCTGCAAAATTACAAGAAAATTGCGGACACAAAGGTAGGAAAATGTGCTTCATTGTTTTAACATTTATGGACTATAATTGTTGTGGGGCCTCAGCTTCCCGAAGCGGCCGGTGGCGTGCGGACAATTTACCCACAGCGGCCAGGCCGCAACGATGGCAACATCTACGTGGGTACGACGCGAAACAACATCTTGGAGGGCTCGCTGCAGCGACGCTTTACGCAAGTCGTCTTCGGCCACGGCAGACAGCTGTGGGGCCTCGCCGCACATCCCGAGGATGAGCTTTATGCGACGGCTGGCCATGACAAGCATGTCGCGCTCTGGCGCAAGAACAAACTCATTTGGACCATACAAACGGGCTACGAGTGCGTGGCATTGGCCTTCCATCCGTTTGGCACGGCATTAGCTGCTGGCAGCACCGAGGGCCACTTGCTGGTCATCAACTGTGACAACGGGGCGGTGATGCTGACGCTGCGTGTATGTGGCTCACCTCTGAACTGTGTGTCTTTTAATCAAGGTATGCATGAGGATACAATATATTCTGTCTCGCTCTAACTAAATGCCGCTGTCTCCTTCGCAGTCGGCGATATGATTGCCATGGGCTCGCAAAACGGAAGCATTTACCTTTTCCGTGTTTCGCGCGACGGTTTCTCCTACAAGAAGGTCAACAAGATACGCGGCTCGCAGCCTCTGACACACCTGGATTGGAGCATGGACGGCAACTTTGTTCAGACCGTGACCATTGATTTTGACTTACTCTTTTGGGACGCCAAGTCTCTGTCTCCGGAGCGCAGTCCCATTGCAATGAAAGACGTCAAGTGGCTGACCAACAACTGCACAGTGGGTTTCCTGGTTGCCGGCCAGTGGAGCAATCGCTACTACAGCAGCGCCAACACCATCATAGCCACCTGCAGTCGGTCCGCGGCACACGATATGCTCGCATCAGGTGACGCGGAGGGCTATTTACGTTTGTTCAGGTAAGCCGAGAGCCCCTCAGAGCCAATGATAATGATTACGCCTTACGCCTTCGACATTGACAGATATCCCTGCATCTCGCCCCGTGCCGAATTCCACGAGTCCAAGGTCTACTCGGGCATGCTGGCCTGTGTGCGTTTCTTATGCGGAGATCACACACTCATCACTGTGGGTGGAACAGACGCTTCGCTCATGGTGTGGGACATTGTCGAGGAATAGCTGAAATGGCCACCGTGGCGCTCTGCTGCACAACACGATGCGAGCTATCAGGACTACTGGCATCGGCGCATCTCGCAGGTATCTTCAACGGTGCTGGACAGTGACTCCGTCGATTATCAGTAGAGATTCCCCCGCGGACATTCGGGTTGTGCAGCCTCGCTTGCTTTTTTAACACAATATCAATTGGCCAGCATCCCATTGGCTTATTATATTAGATAACCAAAGAATTGATCGATGACTCCAGCTATAACAAAACTAGAACAAATTTACGTTTCACTGGTAAATTCAAACCAAATTTTTAATCTACTAAAGATAACACCCATAGATAACTATGTGTGTGCGCAGTTCCGTTGCACCCAACTTGGCTTCCATTCCCCAATCTTCCGTTAATGTTGTGTTCCGCATTTGTCCTCCGTTTTTATATATACTATAATTTTGTTGTTGATGGTTATTAAGTTGGTAACTAGAAACAGACTTAAATGCCACTGGTGGATACTGTAACTATATACTATACAATATGAATGCATTCACGAATCTAAAGCTCTTATACAGACTTCCTACATATCATCTTCCAATTGCGCTCTCATTGAAGTCCCATATTTTTCAAGAATCGCGGTAATAGACAGGAACTTTATAACACCCACACGACACATAAATATTGAAAACTAAGTGCACTTAAACATATATTGAATATAAAGCATTACTATAAATAATTATATTCAATATATATTGTTAATGCAATTTTTAATGTAAGCGTTGAAAAAAATAAACCGTTTTAACAAACCAATCAATATTTCAATTTGCGGTCAACTTGTTTGCAATATTTAAAATTGCGCATACGAAGTTTTGACTTTTATTTTTTCTTAAGTTACTTCGCAACAAGAGTTTCTTTGACCACCCCAAAAGTTAGCAAATTAAATATGTTCAAGTTAAGGTACTAAAAATTCACAATATGAGAGCGGCTCTTTATATAACTTTCTCTCTTTGACGTGTACTTTTTTAATTAAATATTTTATATACTTGAAGTGGGTATTATAATACTTTCATAAAATGTGTAACGCATGGAAGACATCTCCCCTCGGTTATTGATGCTGATCAAGAATACATAAGTATTGTATTAATACATGAATATGTATTATTAATCAGCATCAAAACCGATAAACCCGTGTCCCTCTGTCCTTATTCCTTATATCTGCCATAGGAACGATTTTTAAAAAATAAAGTTATTGCTTGAATAACTTTGTTGCTCTTCATGAAATCGTATCGAAATTTGGCATTTGTAAGTTTCACTATGCTCCTTATACATATATGAGCCAAATCTTATCAACAATTTACTTAAGCTTAAAAGAGTCACATACTTTAGCATGTAGTTACATACTTTATCATGTAGCTCTTTTAAGTTTGTGTATACGATATCTTCACGAAACTGAAAAAATACGAGCTTCACTAATGATTATATATTTTTCAAAATTATGCCAGGTTATAAATATGGCAACAACTAAGAACGTAAATAGTTGAAAATAAATTTCTTGCGAGTTTCTCGAGAGTTTTGAAATTTAACATTTGGCGCAAAATTCACATTTGAAAAGTTGTAACGCAGGTTGGCAGACCGAAAAAATAATTTTGCTATCGATTATTGTACGATATTTAGCGATACTGTAAACGATACTTAAGTGTGACCAATCTTACCATATAACACTTTTATTTCAGTTGGCATCCCGATTAAAATTGGCGCTGTTTTCAAATACACGGATGAGGCTTATTAGGCAAACATGTTAAAGTGCTTTAGTTGAAGATAAAGATTTGTTGCATTCATTTCGACTTACTTTCGTGCACATAGACAAATCATGAGTCGCACCGTTACACAGATTGACACACTCCGCAAAGTATACTCTATTCTCTCAACAATATGCTGCACTTATTTAACTTCTTTATTTGTTTGAGGCTGAACTTATTATTGATTTCGGGTAAGCCATATATAATATAATATGTACTAATTTTAAGCTGCTTTTGGTACATGGGAATTTTTATAGGTTCATATATTCGAACTCTTATAATATCTGAGATCTCTCAACTTATATAGACGGGCAGGCATATAGTTTAGTCCGATTGAATCAGTTGTTGCTGAATAGAAATATATATATTCTAATGGGTCAGAGGCGCCTTCTGGATGTTACCAATTCAAGCACATTTTAAATGGGTTCAAAATGAAAAAAGTATAATTAAAGACAGTTAGTTCCGGGGAATATAATTCCAAATATGGTTTCATATTATAACTGCAAAGAACTCAATTTGAAACAAACTTGTATTTCTGTAAAGATTGCTATCTATTTAAGTTAATCAAAATATTCATTTAGTAACCACATGGATCTAATTCCAAATATAGTTTCACTAAATTCGACAAACATAATATATAAAGCAAAACAAGAAACATATTTTTTGTCAATATATGATTTTATTCATAAAGACATTTACTTAAAACTGATGGAAGACAATGATCAGATACTTAGGCTAATTAATGTGCTATTAATATTGTATAAATGGCAAGAGCCATGATTTCGAAGTGCTTTCGAGGCACATAAAGCTATCAGTCTCGTACTCTCGCTATCACAGAACTTATTTAAAGCCTTTCGCCGATTTGGAATCGTGCCGCAACACAAGTCCCATCACAGGTTGTCCGGAACTTCTGCAGATTTCCATTAGCGTAGCGACATCTTTTTGAGTTCAAGCTGTTCGTTGAGCCAATTTTGAAGTTCCTCTTCTGTCGCAAATGCTGAAGATTTGATGCTGATCTCATCCGTTGCCATGTTTTTGGGCTTTGAGAGATGGAAAATGCGTGTAACCGTCCTCAGTAGCTTCTTCAGGTTCACAACAGCACCCGTAAAAGATCTTTTTTCGGCAAACTCGACGTTATTTGCGTGTTGAATGTTTTCGCCAATCATTTTTCAAGATATATATTTATACTGTTCCGACCGGTATAAGAGCTGTAGTAAGAATGATAGATCTTTCTTGCCGAACTCGCCTTTTATACAATTTCTGTGTACACTGCGTACGCAATTGCGGGAGTTTTCATCCCTCATTTTGTGTTCCAGCAGGTAAGGAAATTTACCTGGCTGTGGGTCACGGGCTCGCTCACATATAAACTCCTGATCTTTCTTACATATGTACATACATAAATAACAAGGAAGAAATGCTATCGAGGCAATCTGATTAATAAATATTAATGGATTGTACACATATGTAGATGAGGACTATTTTCTCTGGTATATGTTTGTCGATGCAGAATATTCTCTTGTATCACACGCATACCAAGTTTGTTTGACCATTGACCCTCTACTACTCCCGCAATGCATATTTTAAAAACCTATGAAGGGAACAGAACTGAACCTATATCTTCGGTTGACCGGATATTAAATACCCTTGCCGATATTGAGTAGATGTGCCTTATATTTTTATATGCAAAAAAGTATGCATATAAAAGATAGATCGTTTTACGTGGAGGATATTGTAGCTCACAATTAATTAGTTTGGTTAAGATATTTTGATAGTGATAGCTTTATGGTACAGTGATCCGAAATCACCAGCAAAAATACTGATCTCTGAATTTCGTAGCGATAGCCTAAGAACTGAGAAACTAGTTTTAATAGATAGATATTGCTCAAGCATACATAATTGAGGGGCTTGGAGATATCTCTTTCTATGTATCGCGATCTGACGAAGATTAGTTGGCCTTTCGCTCAGAAGCTTCCGCAAAATCATTAATCTCATTTTGATTTTGGTGACTTTTTATGACCTCAAAAAAACTGGCAAGCAAACTAGAGCGAAGATTGCATATGAATATATGTTATATATGTATATATTGTATAGTTAATTGAATCAAGTTTTTATATTGTTAGAAACCCGGCGACTCTAAACTAAAGACACACCGATGGCGCATAGGGTAACAGCGACCTGAACAGCCATTTAACAAACAAAATAATTTTAAAAAAGGTTTAAATTGAAGAATAAAGATCTAAGCACCAATCAGGATCATCTTTGTGCTTCTGGCCTGTGACAAAACAGCTCCGACAGCAATCAAAAGAAAATTATAGCGACCTTTTGCAATTCTTCAAATATCGCCTATGATCGAAAGTCAAGTTGATATAGCTTTACGCTTCAGTCTGCTTGTTTCTATGCAAACTACAGTCTCAGATTTGATGTAATCTTGATTAGCGCCAAGCAGTTCTATTTTATCGAAGTTGACTGGGTGGCATATTGTAAATATCTCAACCAAATTCTGCAATTACGAGCTACGCTCTCACACCAAAATCTTTATTATCTTTATAAGTATGGGGTGCTTAATTATATAGTTCCAATAGAAACAATTGAACAGAAATATAATTTTGAATGTAATCATATTCGTGTGAATGATAGATGTTTGCAAAGATATTTAATCGTCGGCAGCCCAATGTTAATTTCTTCTCTTGATATATTGCAATCATCACAATAACTTATAGGAATAGTAGCGTAAATATGTCATTGTAAAAAGTGTAAATTGGGCAATTGAAGAGAGAAGGGAAATTAAAATAATCGTGAAAATTGCAATTTTCTCGGTAACATTTCAAATAAGCGCGCCAGTAAAATCACTTAAATCTCTATTTGAGGTAAAACCGTAGTAAAAGGAGCGTAAAATACGAAATAGTTCGTGTCGAACAGCTGAAACGAAACTGACTAGGCAATTGAATTGCAACGATTTGGAACCAATCGATTTAACATAGGTTTATTTCTAAGAAATAAAATGAATAACTGTCAAAAAGTCCAGCCAGCAAATGCATTGACAAGTCCCAAAAACCCATAAACAACTGCATGTACGAATAGGAATCACAAATCTCCGAGGTATGTGGCGTGTACCTCCTTTATGCTCAGGTTACCATTGTGCACACTATGAAAGGAGATAGCACGGCCGGCGTGTACCCTGGCCAACTGGGATGTTTTGTTTCAAGTTCCAATTTGCAACGCATGAGCCTTCGTATTCTTAATTATGGCACAAAGATCACGTACCCCGAAACTGTGCACAATATCTTCTGTAAACGACTTTGTCGCCCGTTCAAGAAAATCAATTTGTTCCAAATGGGTGACGATGTATTGCTCTCATCCGATAATATTGTGTTCTACTTATGTGTACGCACTTTCCTGTGCATGGTCGTAAGGCAACCAAAGATAAACTATTCAAAGTCGAACCATACGAAATGGAACTTGGCACGAACGAAGTGCGCACTGTGAAAATTTTAATTTAAACGCCTACCTAAATTTGTCATCCAATTCCAATAGAATTGTCCATAGCACTTGGGCTCGAGAACGAATAATATTAGCGTAAAATTGATTTAGTTTCTGGATACTTGCATACATATGACAAGCCCTTTAATTCGCAATAGACTTTTCAAGCTACTATAAAGCACATTTTATTCGTAAACTAAATAATATAAGTATTTCAATTCTGTATGTGCAGGGAGACAGATAGAGAGAGGGACGATCTTTTTTTATAATGTTAAAACGAAGGTTTTTGGCAGACGAAAGCATCTGCGACTCCATAAAGTATATTCATTTTTGATCAGGTCAATGAGCTGAGCAGATCTAGCTATGTTTGTCTGTATGAACGCGTCGATCTCAGAAACTATAAGAACTTGTTGACTTGGCAGAACAGGTTTATCATTATTCGTTCGATATATCTATTCATTTTCATAGCATTGAATTGAGAATTGATATGGTTCTTTATGCATAAGCTCGGAAATTATAGGTAAAACAGATTCACTTTATTTTTCTCCAAAAAATGGAATAAATATCTAACTTTTTAATGTAAACCCTTGCAATGTTGTATATAAACACTCTAGTATGCCATATCAAATTACGAAAACATTCTCTTTAGTAGGTGGCTAAGAAAGAAGAAGCAGAGCCGTATACGTGGGTTTTTTGGTGAGTAAATATAAAAGTAACTAGGATGCTTGTAACAGTAGCTCAATATTGGGCTTAGGGTATATCCTAGTTGGGTACTTCTTCTACTTGCTTGATTATTTCTCCAGGAAGTAGACATATCTTAACTCCGGTCGGAAATTTTGTTGCATGACCAACAATGAAGCTTATCAATTTATTCATAATCGAGTAACAAATAATTTAGCCAAAGATGCATATTTTTTTTAATCTTTATTATTAAACTAAATTAATATAATTATGAAAACTTTATAATGTGCTCTGGCCCTGGCCCTGAGCATGTGCACATAATATCACAAGTCTCTCAATGCTCGCATATAAAAAACATTTCCAGGATATTTTATAGTCGAGGGCTCTTCACTTGCTTATTATACATTTAAGTCACCTTTTGAATGGATGCATTCTATAAACAGGAGACAACTACCTTTATTGATTGAAAAGAAATGACAAGACAAAAATACTAGCGGAAAAATTGAAATTTCTTGCTCAAACACCTGGAACATTGGCAAATCAAACAAACGACTTGACTACGATTTGGCTATGTGCAGATGAGCTCATTATTGAATCTTAACCAACTGAAACGAATCAATTTCGAAAGCAAAATGCAGCCAGGATTAGTCCTATTAGAAAACCAATCAACCGTTTCAAATGGGCCACAGCTGTCGACCACGCCGCACTCGCATCTAGGCAATTATGTATGAAGTGTAGATACATGTGTGTATGGGATGGATTCAGTGTGTCGAAGTAAAAATATGAGAAGCGAAAACAATGAGGATGGATGGCAGAAAAAAATTACCAAAATCCAAATTATAATCGCACAATAATAGGCATATTTTATGAATATATTTTGAATAAGAGAGTTAGAGTAAGGTTTTGGAGAGAGTTTTAGGATCAGATTTATCAAATATCAGAAATATTGCTTATCAGGTTTTTCATCATACTCAGATTTAGTTGAAAAAATGCTAAGGATTATTATTTTTATTTAGAAGCTTTATATAAACCATCTAAAAAACAGAAATAACTTTTTAGCTTAAAAAACAATTTCGATAAAAATAATCAAGGGTAGAAAACTGTGTTCAGGTATCATCTATAGTGTTAAAAGCGTTACTGGTGGTCCCAGCTCTACTAAATTCGACGGCACTTTAAAAGCAAATCAAGGGCCGCCTTGTTTTGCCCATCGCAAAACAGAGGTGCAACACGTATCCTAAAATGTTCGAACAACCGAAATCACAAAGGCAGGCGAAAAGGAGGAAACTGCTACTTTTCTCACAATGCGCAGCGTATGAAAAGAGACACCTCAAAACTATTCTCTTGTCACTTCGGGTATGCCGCCGGAGCACTATTTTCTGTCAAGCCGACGCATCCGTCACCTGGTGCGATTAGCAACTACAATGAGGGTCCTCGATACGGCGGGATCAAAGTGGAAAATTCATTTGGCTTGGTGGTCTTCGCCATGGTTTCTTTGATGTTCGCACAAATTACCGGTTGTATAGAAAAAAATTAACAACCTAAATAGGCAATTGAAAGGCCCATTTTATTACAAATCTATATTTTGTTCCTAAAACTCTTTGCTAAGCTGACTCGTCAACGCAGAGTCCAACCAAGTAAACAATTTTCATCAGGGATGTAGGCGCGCTATAAGAAAGGATTTTAATGATTCAAGTGGATTAAATAGGGTGTTTTTCGCGTTCGTTAAGCATTTCGATTAGACAAGGTTGTATGTCTCTATAACAAAAGTTAACACAGGGGCAAAATGGTCGACTCTGAACCTTAACTCTGGGTAGAGTATTCGAATGCAGTGGAGGAGCCCATTTTTATGTTGGAATTCTTTCATTTTTGATGTATGGCCAAATGCATTTGTCTAATTAACATTTAAATTATTTCGTTAATAGCTACTTGAACGCTTGCATTTTGTTCTATATTAGATGAATCGATGCAGACAAGATTTAAGTAGGAGAACTCTAGTCAGAACTGCTAGCAGTAATGGGAAGACATCAGATTAAAGATATACTTGTTATGTTTAATTGTTGAAAACATATCTTTCAACATACTTTATAGGGTCGGAGAGACTTCCTTCTTCCTGTTACACACATTCGCACCACTTGAAACCCTTTATACTATGCAACAAATCCATCCCTTCTTCAGCGTTAGCGCTGCAACCTTACTTTTTCGATAGATAAAACCCTTTTACAACGAAGATATTATTTTTATGTTTTAATTATCAGCTTTTCCTAAATGAATTACAAAAGAATTTAACATATCGATTAATTAAATCGGTTGAGATAAGTAAAAGTTACAGGTCGTAAGTCTGTTTTAGATATTTTAAAAAGCGGAGAAGGTTTTTATAAAAGAATTTCATGTTCGATTGCCGATGCCAACATATTTATGCCTAGTAAACAAAACCGGCCTTATGCAAAGTTTTATGACAGTAAAACAACGTCGGAGAGACTAAACTAGAGACATGTAGGCAGACAGGCAGATACACAAACAGACGGCTGGTCAAGTCGACTTATATGGACCAATATAATATAACAAGAAAGAATATTTATATAGTAAAAACGCTTTCCGCGATTTTTCTAAAATTTTCCAAAATCCCGTCTTAGCGTGCACCTCTATTACATAAGTTAACTACAAAACAAATTTAAGTTTCTCGGCTCTTCCGGTCAATCAGTCACGACAGACAGTTTAATAAATACAGGTATTCAAGTCCGATTTCGACAATTATACTGTCTGCCATTTGGGAACTGTGCAAAGCCTTAAAACGATGAGATAATTTATATTTAAACAATAGACTTGGTTTTATAGGGTTCGTGTTTGCCTGTTATAACTGCAATGTAAATTATTTAACTCACTTTCAAAAAGTCAAGTCTATAACAATAGATAAAGATCGGCAGACCATATTTTATAGTGTATTCACCGTTTTCTACGTCCGAAAAGAGTACAGTTCACATTTGATTAGTTGTTATTGGTCCATCTAATGTGGAAATGTGGAAAAGTGCTCTGCATCTAGTGTGGTTTCTAAAAACACATATGTGACTTAAAAAATCATTTAAGCAATATCTATCTTCCATGTGGCTTTCCTTAAGGATAACTATTTTCGTACTTTGGCGATGCAAAGCATGTGTTTGGTAGACCCGCTGATCTTTGAATGTAGGCATTGAGTATTAGTGTCTTTAGGTGTGCTTGAAAAGTGGACATTGGTTACGCATGTGCAGATAAATTTCTTTTGTATGAAAAACTGAATGGGTATGCCTACTCCAGAGACAATGCTGGTACCCTCTTCTGTCGAGTGTGAGTACCCGCAGAGCTATTGCAAAAGCAAATCTTGGCATTTATTTTATTGACGAGCACTCGTGCATAGCTCCGCACGACTTCTTACAAATACGTTGCATTTTAAATGCCAATTCAACATCTCGAACGGAAGTGAATGAACAATCGCTTAAATGGGAATCTTTTTACGGCAACTCACGCGCTGTTCTTTTTCTATTGCCTTGACCAATTGCCATTCTCAACTGTGCAACATACAAAACACTGTAAAATGGCTAACAGCTACTTTCTAAAACCGTAACGGCCACTTCGATTGTACATGGTTATATGTTTCTAGCTGATGTTACCAGGCATTGCCCGGTTCAAATACTACTTACTGAAGGTGCACGCTAAGGCGGGGTTTTGGCGAATTGCACGCGCAAGAATAGAAAAATTGCGAAAAACAAATGTATGAAACTTTATGGTTTATGAAACTTTATGGTTTACCATATTTATGCAAATTTATTTGATGCTTTTCGCAAAATCCACCCCTTTTTTGAAAAAGGTAGTTTAAAAGTTTAATAAACTATTGTTTATTTATCGGCTTCAAGATTCTCACCATAAGATTTACAAGTATTTTTGTTAAATTTAACTTAAGACATGGAGTTCAATACAGTACGAGGATAGATTTTCAACGGGCGGGAAGTGGATGAAAAAGTTATATCTTAACTTTTAAGCATAAAACTTGCCACGGGATTGGGGAGTACCCACTATATGTATGTGTGTGTATGCATCTATGTACATATGTATGTATAAATCTATGTATAAATGTATGTATGTATATATATACATATATATATATGTGTATTCATGTATGTACATATATATATATCTATGTATGTATGTGTATGTGTGTATATGTGTGCATGTATGCATGTATATATGTATGTATGTATGTATGTATGCATATATGTACATATGTGTGAAGGTATGTATTTGCATGCGCATATTTGTAGGTATTAATGCATGTTTGTATGAATGCATGTAACTAATACATATATGTGCATAGATGTGAGCATCTATATTGTATGTTCATATGTAAGTTTACCTCTAGCTGCGCTGTAAATTAAAATAAACATATTCTTCACTAATGCCCTAATACGCGATTTATATAAATTCAAGTAAGTATCATAGTCTTCACTTCAAGAGGATGAGAAAGCTTTAGCTAAGGGGGAGGTGGCTTCAACTAAGAAGGACACGGCTTTAACAAAAGAGAAAACGGCGGCTTTTATATTGGAAAATACGGCTTTAACTATGGAGGAAGCGGCAGCTTAAGTATGAAGGATGTAGTGGCTATGGCCATGGCGAAGGCTTTAAAGCAAATTGGTTAGTATTATAAACAAACCAATGTATTATTAAATTTAAAATAAAAGTAGCAACTATTACATGTTGGTTTGTATGCATTTGAATACATACATGTATGTATGTAAGTAAGTGCTCCACATACATTCTCACTAATTAAAGTAAAGTTTACCAAGCTGCAGTTTTCAACATAATAAACTTAACATCTGCTTTTCTGTTCTTTCAGTGATGTGTTTATTTAAAAGTTCGTCTCCCGCCTACTGATAGATGACGATAAAATTACCATGCGTGTGAATTTACAAGTGAGTAATTACAAATTTATATTTATCTTTGTCTTCACTGACTGATTGGCTGACCGACTGAGAACAGCCCAAGCAGTAAGCGCTAGGAAACTTATTTTCAATGCCCTACATAAGAACTCATAATTTTGAAAATTTCACCCTTTACATACTGTGGAAGGTTGGCTCAACAAGACTAACATGGACAGAAGCCATTGATTCTAACATTTAATTGTTTATTTGATGGATTTTAACTGGGCTAAAATTTATTATCTAAAATCGTATGCACAGAATTTGTCACAGGCAAGCCAGGGGAATACTGACTATACTGACTATATACATATATTTTCTTATATTATTATTTTGTGTCAATAGTAACATGTTTCTTTTGCTGAAATTTTGAACACAATCTGGCGTGTATGTTAAAAAAATAGTCTGTAGTTCGGCTTGGACTCATCTTTAACAATAGTATGCTGTTTGCTGCCTATAATCAGCTGAAGAATGCTAATGGTTCGGGATATTTATTGAGACAACACACAAGAGTTTGCTTGTAATTTGATGCTTGGTCTATTGTTTATCTTATCAGCACAAACATATCTAAAAGAATGAAAAGAAAATAGGAAAAACTCTTAAAATATTTACGCTCCTAGTGGAAAACAAAATAAATTCAAGTTGGTCTCCTCGGTTCGTCTCGTCTCGTCCCGTCTCGCCTCGTCTAGTCTTGATGGCGATAATCCGGGCACTTAGCTCCGAGAATGAATACGAGTCTCGGTGTCAACAGCGAATTACAAGATTGCACACGAGAGATAAAAACTGAGTAAGTAGCTCAGTTCTGCATAAAAATGTGATCTATGGACATGCATGGGTATAGCATGGCTTCGACGTCTTGAAGTGTTTGTTGATATCTCTTGCGATAGGAGCTGTGATTTGGTTCCAGTTTTAAATAACTGTGCCTATCTCATCACTTCCTAATGCGTACCACAGATACAGTTTTAACCAAATTTGGTAAACCAGATCACTTTATCTGAGATCGTTCGAGAGCTTACTTCATTTAGATTAAATCAAACATACATGTATGTAAATGTCCACTTATGTAGATCACATATTTAGATAAATTAACATCATACTGTCTTTCTATTTACCTATTTAAGAGCATCTTTAACTTTACGTTGATCTGGAAATAAAGCGGGATTCTTTTTTGTTCATATTGATCACCGCTTTTCTCTGTAGCTATCATTTTATTGCCTTCACATGATCAAACCCGATCACTTTTTTTTTGTAATAGCAAACAAAAATTACCTTGCAAATAATTAAAAGTAATCTCTATACATAAAATAGTTTGTCCTGACTAAGTGATTGATGATTAACGCTCAGCCCGAACCGTAATTGCTGGGAAGCTGAAATGAGGTACTCTCTAAGATGAGCTTTAGGGATATTCCGCCCGAAAGTGTGGAAAAAACGCGAAAACGTCTATATGAAATTATTTTTGTCTGCCATCTGAACAGCTTGGCTTTAAACTAATTTTCTAAGCCCTAGGCGATTTTGAAAATTCTACCCAAAACTGTGAAAATGCTCAGGAAAAATTACAACTTTTCGGTTTTAACTCATTTTCGAAGATCTTTGCGAAAGTAAATTTGCGATTTGGTATATATAAACATTGAAGTGCTACATTAATTTCTTATGATGTGGTGCGCAAATTGTGCAGCGTGTGTGTTTGTTTTTTTGTATCTATATATCGAAGAAATCTAGAATGTTTTTAAAGGGAGCTTGGCGGGGGGTGGTCGAACGATGTAGAGCACTTCAACTTCTTAGATCTGACCTTTTCTTATGAAAATACTAGTTCATTTAACTGAAAATAGCCGATTTTCTTCTAACCTATTTGCTTATCTTATAATCATATTGTAAACAATCCAAGTTATTTACGATTACGACCCCTATTTCCACAACTTATTTATAAACTTGAAGCATATCAAGCTTAGTGTTTAATTGATATATATCCAAACATATAAGTCAGATGAGAGACCAATGAGCTCGTAGCTGGTAAACAAACAAGGCACAGATGTGTGTGTGTGTGTGCATTTGAAAGGAATTGGCTACCCAAAAGAATCCTCACATAACCGAGGGCCAGGATACGTTCACACAAACAGCCCTCAGTGGTAAGCCGAAGCAGTGGTTGCCCATTGAAATTGAAGGTTTACTTTTCGATTGTTCATATGTGCTATTCTATTGAGACATGCCATTGTCTGTGGGTTGTTTGTAGCAATCTTTCAATCAGTTTCAGAGAAAAAGAACACATAATCTAACAATAACATATTATTATATTTGAGCTCCTTTTTAGTTTGACATTCATATGTACTTCGTTATCAATAGACCAAATCTATCGAGAAGAGCACGAATGTATTATTTCAACAAAACTTAAAATAACAGAAGCACGTCCATTTAAAAAGACAACGGTCGGAAAATTAAGCAGAAAATGGCAAAAGGTTTTGCATAAGTTAAGGAGGAGTCCTAGACTCACTTTTAAAAGCAGACCTGAGAACATATAGATAAATAACTTGTGTGGAGTTGCACAATATATACACTACGTATATTTTGTGTACGTATAATATTAGAATAAAAACTTATAACAAATAAGAGGCGCTAGTCGGCAGTTCAAGCTATCGATTATCGGAAACAAACTCGTACTGCGCGGGCAGTAGTAGGAGCTACGTTCAAAATGTCTAGCTTTTATAGTTTCTGAGATTCTTGCGTTTATACATACCGACAGACGGACGGACAGACAAACGGACATGGCTAGATCGACTCGGCTATTGATGCTGATCAAGAATATATATACTTTATGGGGTCGGACATGCTTCCTTCTGCCTGTTGAATACATTTGCACTGAAACATCACACCCTTTTTACACATTTCAATGGGTGAAGGGTATAAAAATGTATGCTTTTCGCAATTATGCAACATGGTTATTATGAATTGTTCCCTTCCTCAATTCTTCGCTTGATGGATGCATAGGTTAGCCGATCGCTAACTGATCAATTTGTATTTTACCAACACTGAAACATTGAAATCACAACACTGCAAAAAAATCAACAGGAGACATCAGTCGGTGGTACAGAAAGTCATGCATTCGTAACAATAGTTTGTAGGCCCTTTGTTTACCTCGCCTTGAAAATATTTGTAAACACGTTTTTGGAAGTTTTCAATGTTTTCATCCGTTTTGTGCGTCGGAGGGTTGGAGGTAGGTATGGCCAACATAGTGAGACGTCATGGAGTTTCACGTGTTGTCACCAGCCACCAACCACCAGGCTTATTAATGGCCAGAAAAATGCCAGCAAGAGTCCAGTAGAATCTGTTGAAACGTGATCCGTTCAAGCCGCACAAAGGGGATTACTGCAGCCAACGGGGGCGATCAGGAAAAAAAAGTGTGCCTTTTAACGAGCTCTAATTTGCTGCTGCAGCAATTCGTGTACATGTACAGCGACAGAAAGATATTCCTTGTTTACAACAGTTTTCTCCGGAATACAGATTCTGGCCAAATAATGGCCTACTCAGCCGAACTCGAATGCGAGGCACAAAAACGACAGGATAAAGGAATTCTACAGATACAACGCATGTTTGCACAAAAACCGCCAAACAAAGTCCTCGCCAAGTCCAATTGAAATGCCTTTTTTTCAGCAGCGATAAAAATACAAAAAAAGGCCCTAACGTGATAATCTCTTAAATTGTCCCCCAACGCTGAAATCTCTCTTTAGAAAATTAATAAATAAGATCTTGTTATATGGTACTATTTTGTTGTGATTGAATGGTGCTCATTCCCAAAGATGCCATAATTGTGGCTCGATTATAGTAAACGTTACCCAATCTGATGTAATAATTATGTTACCAGTTTTATATTGCTTTATATAGTACAATTTTGTTTTTCAAGAGTTAGCTACGATAAGTAATTGTCATTGCCAACATAAATCGTGACATATATGAGGCACAGTTTCTCTTCGTAGATATCATACATTGTTTTACCAACTATCCTTCTAATTATATATTGAATCTCCCAAAAGATAATCATCAGTCGCTAATTGAGTTTTTGTTGTGCCCTCTACATAATTGCAAGGATATTTTTTTTCGTAATCCTGTTATAGACCTTGTGCAGAAATGTTTAATAAAAAACATTTGTAAATAATAGAATTAAAAATATATGTAAATAATGGGGACAATAGCAATACGAACAAAACGATTTTATATAACACAAACAGGACATCGAAAAAAGATTATTAAATAATGGACAGCTCTTTAGTAAATGCCTGTGATTTTAATTAAAGAAACAATTATTGTGTTTCTTAATAATGTATAAATACAAGCATAGGGCAATATCTTAAATAAAAAAAGATTTCAGTTAATTTTTTGCAACACTAAAACCAAATTGGAGTATTGTACATTTAGAAATGTAACTATAACTCTTGTAAATATTTAATGTTTTACATATTAATCTTTTTATTTTGACCGCGTTAATATTATAGTTAAGAGACACTTAAACCAGCCATCTCTAATAGATACACTTTTTCTTCGTTGCCCTTAAAATTTTTAATTTTTAATTAGACATAATAGTTGTTATCCTAATTAGCAGTCATCAAGCTGTGTACATATATAAACAACAAGAGTATCCGGGTTCAATTCGCAGGCAAACGATTGGGTATACATAATATGGACTGAACCTAAAACCATAGCTGGGCGATAGTTGGGTTGATAGTAATAATAATATTTATAATCCTAAATAATATTAAGTAAATACACTGAAACTGTTTATTGTACATTTTCAAGTCAAACGTATTGATAGTCTGCTCCCTCATCCGATCACTTTAACCTCTAATTCGGTGGTCAGCGTCGAATCAGTTACACACATACATAAGCCTGAAAAATAACAATAGGCACATGCATATATTGTCTGGTGTATATATTTGTAGGTGCATGTATATAACACAAAACACATAGATATCGTAATACGCTTCAATAGGAACACACACACACACACACAATGACAACTCGGAGCTGTCCGAAAATTTTAGTAAACAATGAAAAACCCAAATCAATAAAACTCGGCACCGCAGGGGACATAACTTGGGATTAGGAGCAAAAAAAAAAAAAAAAATAGAAGACCCTTGCACACGTGTTCACAAAGGAAAGTGGCCGACGCGTAGGGATGTTTTATTCCAAAAATGCCATCAATTTAGTTAAAATTTGTTTCTTTTTTTCGAACACTAACTATTTTGGTGGCTTAAGGCTTGGTACTTATTGATTTTGTCGATTATGCTTACACAACATACCCTGTTATAAAGTAAAAGAATAGGGTATATAGCGGTTAAGCAGAAGCTGCCCCGACTATGAAGGTACAATATACATTCCTGATCGGCATCAAATGTATATTTTGATATCCAATCTGTCTGTCTGAATATACTTATTGACACTATGAGTTCCTTCCTTCTACACTTGTATTTTATCTGATTTCTTTACCTCTTTTATATTTTTATATATATTATATTATCCAGAAGATAAACTTTCAGCGATTTTAATGTATGATTCATTTGATGTACATATTTGAAGATCGGAGCTTAGTACAGAGCATCGCCTAGTCGGCCCTTTTTGACTATACAACTCTTGTTTTATATTGACAAATGGGTTCTAGATAGAAGACAACTTTTTCACAAACCGTAGACGTAACAGAAACCCAAAGATTTTCATTGCCAGCAATGCAATTTGATCCGTTTAGACGACCTGAGGCAGCACTTGACAATTAGGATAGTTGGTCGACGGCGACAGATTGAAGTGAAATGTACATTCGTAAATATCACTTTACAAGAACGACAGCCGAGATCTGGTGTCCCGACCGCTGTTATATTTGACAACAGGCGTCTGGGGCTGTGATCTCAAGTGCAGCTCATAACACAAACCTCAGCAACCCCAGGCGAGGGATGTGGCTCCAGTTTCTTAAATTAAGTGCCGCTAAATGGAAAGTGAACACTATTTTGAATCGCATTGGTATTCATTACATATCGGTTTTTTAGCTCAGCCGTTTCAAGTGCTCACATCTTGAAGGTCTCAGAGCGGAGGTGCAAGTGTTTGCCATGCCCCAATAATCTTTACTAATCAGCAATGAAAGCTATTCCATATGCTAGCTCAGTGCACATTAAATTCTTGTAAAATACTTGTGCACCAATAGTTGGATGATAAGTGCATATGGAAATACAAATGAAGTACTATCCCATCCCATGTAAATCATATGTACGATAGCTAACGAGTCTTAAAGTGTTGATCGAATCGAATACATTATCAACATGATTTTGCTTTTAGGCCGCACACGAGTTACGAGTCTGGCTGTGGTTGAAAGTATCTTTGACTGTACTTATCTTTTCGAACACATAGCCCATAAAAGGTACGTGAGTTGCACCAATTACTCTTTTACCTAGGCTACGCGTCTTTACTTGAACAGGTAATTTCGACACGTTTGCACGTACAGCCTACAGTCTGTTAGACGTTAGGGTAGAATAATCAGCAGGACGCCGGCGCCAGTGCATTTTTGATTTAATTTCTTTCCTTTTGTTTGACATTCTCAGAATAGCAAAAACTGTCTTGCATTTTCTTGAATTTTTTAGATCTTGGGTGCGATTTGTCACACTTGTTCGGCAAAGCGTAGCTGACTTACCTGGGTAGAAATCGACCTGTCCGGGCGTATCCAGAAAAAAAAACAAGTACGCAGTGGGGTGCAGCCGACTGCGCAAAATTATGTCCACAATAACGGTTTGATAAAGTCGAAAAAATAGTTTGGAAATTTACCTTAAAGCAGTGAATTTCAAACTGTATTGTGTTTATGTTGCGATTCTTGTAAACGTGTCAACAATATTTGGAGTGATCTTTAAAGGAGTTCTCGAATAGTCCACCTGCCCAAATTGGTTTGCAAAGACTTTAGACCTTTTAAACGCGCATATATTTAGTTTTTGAATAATACCGAATACGACTTCAAGCCAGTATATTGAATCTCTGTAAGAGCTTATATAAATAACTATTTAAGGACTCTCGGATTGTCGGCGAAATATTGCAATTTTGACTTATCTATTCATGTTGATCTGGAACTTGGAACAGAATCAAACCAGTTACAAATAGACATTTTATAAACATTTAAGGACCGAAAAAGTACAGTGAAAATATGTTTCAAAATATCGTCAGAGAAAATGTATTTTAATCCGTTTCCGGAAGGCTACCATTACGCTGCATTGGATATGATTTTTTTTCTGCTGAATTGCCCTTTTCTAATGCATTCTCCTATATGTGCTTCGATTGTGTATTGTTGGATTTGGTGGCACTAGGTTGCACACGTGCAAGGGTCAGCCGTAAATGCGCAGGTAAAAACACCAAACTCATAAAAAAGATAAAAGAGGAATTAATGAAACGAACCCTAAAATGACCCAAAACGAATGCAGCTCGGTAAAGAAGGGATAACTGCCATCACTTCAATCTTTTACGGAGCGATCCTCTGCGAGATGGCATGATAGATAGGCGAAATTGAACCCACAGCCAAATGATTATAAAAACGGACAATACTCGAGAGTTCGCGATATAAAGAAACTATAGAAAAGAACACTTTTCTGAAAATGAAGGGAGTGTGCATGACGAAAAGGAAAAAGTGCTTTACTCGAAATTGCCCGATTAGAGGGTATCCTGTAGCCAGCAGCCTCGAGATCTGTGCCTTGATCAACTTTTGTGTGAACTATTCAATTCCATTAAAATGCTCAGGACTTTATTATGACATATAAACATAGATTGTGCTATTTTCGGAAAATCGCTGGAGGAATCTGAGGACCAAAATATTTGGAATCTATATATGTACATATATGAAAACAGACACCTTCATATTGTGCTTTGATAATTTTTAAAGGATTTGCTTAAAATCCGGAGCTAGATCCTGATATTGAAAAAAGGCGTAAACTTGATCTTCGTATTGCTTATAACCATTTAAAATTACGGTGGCTTGTATATTCTCTGAAATATGTTATACCCGCTCGTACGGGCAGGGTCACATTGACTAATTGAAACCCTTATAAGGTTGGGCATGCCGCTTTCTGTATGTATATATACCATATATATATATACCATTTGTTACCCATTTTATTGAATCCAGAGAATGATAATAACAATTATACTTTATAATATTATTGTGTTATTTTATTCTATATTGATTGTTTCCAAAATGTTCATCATGAGTTTATTGATTATTTGGTTTTGCAACAACTAAATTTCGTGTCTCTAGCTTTTCTACCGATTCTGATTTCTACTGATTCTGACTCGGTGTGGAATAATCTTAACAATAATCAAACTTTATTTGAATCTGGCGATGCTAATATTTACTTCTGTATGGTCACGCATACATATGTATATGAACACACCCACACAAATTGAGTGTACCCTTCTTCCCCATTTGAAGGATGCTTGGCGTAAAACCGTTAAAAATAAAATAAAGAAAGTAATGTTCCGAAGGGGATGCTCAAATAACAATTCGAAGACTCAAAAATAATTTGCCGACAAAATTCTTGTAAATTTGAGCATCGAGAATGCATCACCCGCGTCGTAAATTGTTTACGCACCAACAACAGACAGATCCTAAAAACAACAATGACAAACAAATATATATATGCAAACGGTTGGGTTTGCCCAGTACCTGCCGCTCCGAGATCTGCTGCGGCATCTCCTTACCAAATAGCGCGTTAATTCGTTTTGACTAACCTTCAGAACTCACATTAAGTCCGGAACACCGAAAATACGTTACTTTCTACCTACAGGTTGGGCACGACGAGGAATTGGGATTTTCGTGCTGTCTCAATGAAATGACCAACAAGTTGGGTTTTCCAGCACAGAGATTGCCTTTGCGATACGCAAACTATTGTGTTTCTCGCTCCCTGTCATTTTCGGATAGTGTGTCGAATTTTAAAATCCTCAGCACTTAGGGTTGGGTATTTACGGACTTGTTTCGACTTGTCCGTTCGTGTCGGGCAAGGGAGTTTGGAATGTGATTTTGGGATTTCGTGTTTGGCAGGTAACGAGCGAAAGAGACGGTGCAACAAGAAAGCAGTTTTTGTGAAACAACAAATGCCAACCAAAAATCCACTTTAAAAATCTGGGAAATGCAGCAACGGAGATTCTCATTCTCTCATCCGATGCGCAACCAACCACCTGCCTCAAGGGCGCATTTTCATTGGCTGACAGCAGAGAGAGTACAGAGTATTGCGAGCGCAGCGGGTATTTCGGCTGGTTGCCTCTGAGCGGCGATCGTATAAAAGCAGAGCCTCCGCTGGCCAAAGAGCAGAACAGTACGAACCAGCAACGTGGCAAGAAGTCCGCCTGTTGCAACAATTTCAATTTGTATCGCTTACAATGTCTTTCATCACGCGGGAATACAAGTTCGAGACCAGCTCGACGATGCAGCGAAAATCAGATCAGCATACAATGGCTATGCTTAGCCTCAAGAAACTTGTCAAACCACTGCTGAGGTTGATCAAGAAGAAGCAGCTCATACGCAAAACCCTCGCCGAAGTGCAATCGCAGAACGAGATCAACTCATCGTTGGAGGACATGCGCAAAGACTCGGTTGCCAGCTGTGACAACATGGCAAATGAGCTACTGGAGCAGCGTCTCTTCAACGATCTGCGCGAATGCCCCAACAATGCGGCCATTATCGTCCAGCAAGATGAGCATCAAAGCGTTGTGCCTGTGCAACCCGATCAGACTTTCATACCGGTGCACTTTGCGCGCACGACCAGTGGCACCTTCTTCTGGACCTCCGCCGATGGGACATGCCTGCAGCAGCAGGAGCAGCAAATGCGCGAGAGATTCGACCGTTGGGTTCAGGCTTAACCCGCTCGCCGAGCCGCCAACATTGATGTCAGCTTTAAGACCAAGTGTCACCTGCTCCAGTCAAGTGCTGGGTACAGTGATCCACTTGGCACCGACCGCAATCTCAGGGTGATATTAGCATAGATTGTGTGCTTGTGCACACAATCATTTAACTCTACGAGCATATTTGTAAATTATTGTGATTTTATGTTAGGGTATCTTTAGTTTTTATAAGAAAATCATTGTCTTCCATGTTTGTTTGTTAGGTAACTTTTAGGCTAAGAATCATTGTCTTCCATGTAAAATATTTAGTTTAAGCAAATAAATAATTAGAGCTAGAAGAAAAACTGTTCCTTGTTTTCAATTTATTACACTCGGCTTTTATTGGATTCAGTATGCTGATGCCATACGAGCCAAATCTTATCAAGCTCTATAGGATGGCAAAATATTCTGTTTTCCTAGATATATTCTTACATATCTGCAAAGCCGTTTGCCAAATGTCTACATGTGTAGCCAAAAATAGCCGTTTTTCTTATCCCTTTTCTAAAATATGTTAAATTTGAATAGTGTCTAAGATCGATACGTTCATTTAGACGTTTGTGACTAACTAACTTTAGCTCGTTGTCTATTAATAAATAATACCTATTATTTATGAGGTCGTTGAAGCCTTCGTCTACCTGTTAGGCAAATTGACAAACAACTTATAAAACACATTTTATTGAGCACAGGCTATAAAAACATGAGTTTTTGAAGAATTCAGCGCGTGGTGCCCACAACCAGAATATTATATTGATTGGGTACAGGGAATTTTGTAGTCGAGCACACTCGACTACAGCGTTCTCACTTGTTAATTATTGCGTAAAAAGGAATATGCCCCAAAAAGACTTGACCGCTAAAAATATTTATTTGCGGGAATAATCAAATAATATTATATGTTCTATATATATATGCGAATGCGTGTAACATAGAAACCAACACTCCGGATTTGCTATGAGTAAAAAATTGAACCGTAATGATCTTGAACTGACATGCAGAGGGACATATCTGCGAGGGACATATCTGCAGACCATAGTTTTGGGGATAAAGAGTACAAAAACATTTTTAAAAATTTTGTCGTCCAAAACGGCATGGAAAATACTGTGTATCAGGTTTGGAGATAAGCCGAAATCTGAACACAATACATTAACCCATAAGCCACAATGGTCTCTACAGTCGTATATTCAAACAACTTGTCATTATCAAATAGCTGCATTTCGTATACTTTACGGACAGCATATGTTTAACGAGGGTTTTGGGCAACATGCTCCGCTGTCATTCTATTAACCATGAAATGATTAATAAACGCGGAGAGTCCACAAAAGAAACTCCTCCGCAGGCAAACCATACGAATAAAAGAAATGAAAAGAATATAAATATATTCAACTGAAGTTAGGAGCGGACGAACGAGCCTGACACACGTGCATGTAAAGGAGCCTCGACTACCTGTAACTCTGAGAAGTGGAATGCGTGAACCCTTAGAAAAAAAACTTGCCTCAAGCGAAGTGATTGGTGATTGGCTGATCAAACAGACATGAGGGATGATGGTTGAGGCTGACATATAAATACGCACAGATTCCGTAAGGTGAACATCATATTAAATCCACACTTTGCAAAGTTGAGTCAGCACAATGGTCTATGAATCGCTGCTGAATGCTACAAGCAGTCCATTATATGTTGACGTTAGGAAGCACAGCCTCAGGCCCTTCAGAAGTATCCAAAATGTTTTCAAAGTGGCCTGCAAGGCCTTCCAGTGGAAAAAACAAAACAATGCGATGGACATCAAGGAGCTCGAACTCATCAAGCCCTGCAACGTGGCTTAGGATATGACACCAAGGAATCAACAAAAATGTACCTTTTAAAAGTTTTACAAAACACAGTTATTCTATATAACATTTTTAACATTTGAAAGCTTTATGTATTAGAATTAAATATTCTTGGAGAATAACTTAAGCAGGTGTCGTATTATTTTCTGGAAATATAGCGAGGTCGCAACCATGATATTTGAATATGTGTTATGAGGCATGTATAAATTTACACAGGCAACTACAAAAATAAAACAAAAACAAGTAGGAGTGCTCACTTTAGGAGTACCCGACTGGCGGATAATCTGAATCTTTATCCATCAAACTACTAAACTAATATAATAAAAAAAAACGAGAAAGAAGTGCTATCTTCGGCACGCCGAAGATTTAATACCCTTGCAGACCCAACCTTTTCAAAATGATCATAGTGCTTTGCCCGTATCTAAGAAGCACAGGGAAAATAGTTAATGCCGAGTATGGTTAAGATATCTTGAAAAACCAAAAAAATTCCATACAACAGCATAATTTTCGACCGATCGTTCCTATGGCAGCTATATGATATAGTTGTCCGATCTTAATAGGATTTTGCATATATATGGGGAGCGTAGTAAAACTAATAAATACCGAGTTTGGTCAAGATATCTTGAAACACATAAAAATTTTCCATACAAAATCTTAATTTTCGACCGATCTTTCCTATGGCAGCTATATGATATAGTTGTCCGATCTTAATAGGATTTTGCATATATATGAAGAGCGTAGTAAAACTAATAAATACCGAGTTTAGTCAAGATAACTTTATAAACCAAAATGTTTTTCATACAAGAACCTACTTTTCGTCTGATCGTCCCTATGGCAGCTATTTGGTATAAAGGTCCGATCCAGCTGGTTTTGACATATGAACTGCGTGCAACAGAAAGAGGGAATTCTGCAAAGTTTCTTAAAGATAGCTTTAAAACTGAGAGACTAGTTCGCATAGAAACAGACAGACGGACATGGCTATATCAACTCGGCTGTTGATACTGATCAAGAATATATATACTTTATGGGGTCGGAGATGTCTCCTTCTATGCGTTACACATTTCACGACAAAATTATAATACCCTCTGCAAGGGTATAAAAAACAAATATTTTAGTTCTCTACGCCGCAGTCGGACTAGCTTTTCATTTGTTACTACATCGCAAACCAATACAACCACACGTTGTCTTTAAAAATCTTTCGAAAACCAAAACTTTTTTGATGATATTTTTTCAATATCTCGGCCAAATAATGTCAGATTTTGAAATGTTATACCTTTTTGAAATTGTACGGATCCCAACTAACATATGGCATTTAAACATTTTAAAGATCGATGGGTTAAAAAAAGTAGTTGACCAAAAACCGATTCGTTTGTAAAGTCAACCTTTTTTGATGATTTTTTGGAATATCTCGGCCAAATAATGTCCGATTTGGGAATCTTATACCATTTTGGACTCGTAAGGATCAGTACTATCGATTGGCATCAAAAAATGAAAATCTAAATTTTGGCCCAAATCGGCCAAAATGGCAAGGGATTACATCACGTTTTTTCTAAAAACCGGGGTCGGTTCGAAAATCAAAACTTTTTTGATGATTTTTTTCAATATCTCGGCCAAATAATGTCAGATTTTGAAATGTTATACCTTTTTGAATTTGTACGGATCCCTACGAACAAAAAGCATTAAAACATTTCATAGATCGATGGGTTAAAAAAAGTGGTTGACCAAAAACCGATTCGTTTGTAAAGTCAACCTTTTTTGATGATTTTTTGGAATATCTCGGCCAAATAAAGTCCGATTTGGGAATCTTATACCATTTTGGACTCGTAAGGATCAGTACTATCGATTGGCATCAAAAAATGAAAATCTAAATTTTGGCCCAAATCGGCCAAAATGGCAAGGGGTTACATCACGTTTTTTCTAAAAATCGGGGTCGGTTCGAAAATCAAAACTTTGTTGATGATTTTTTTCAATATCTCGGCCAAATAATATCAGATTTTGAAATGTTATACCTTTTTGAATTTGTACGGATCCCTACTAACAAATGGCATTCAAACATTTTAAAGATCGATGGGTTAAAAAAAGTGGTTGACCAAAAACCGATTCGTTTGTAAAGTCAACCTTTTTTGATGATTTTTTGGAATATCTCAGCCAAATAATGTCCGATTTGGGAAATTTATAACATTCTGGACTCGTAAGGATCAGTACTATCGATTGGCATCAAAAAATGAAAATCTAAATTTTGGCCCAAATCGGCCAAAATGGCAAGGCACGTTTTTTCTAAAAATCGGGGTCGGTTCGAAAATCAAAACTTTTTTTGATGATTTTTTTTCAATATCTCAGCCAAATAATTTCCGATTTGGGAATTTTATACCATTTTGGACTCTTAAGGATCAGTACTATTGATTGGCATCAAAGAAATGAAAATCTAAATTTTCACCAAATCGGCCAAAATGGCAAGGGGTTACATCACGTTTTTTCTAAAAACCGGGGTCGGTTTGAAAATCAAAACTTTTTTGATGATTTTTTTTCAATATCTCGATGTCAGATTTTGAAATGTTATACCTCTTTGAATTTTTACGGATCCTTACTATCAATTGGCATTCAAACATTTCAAAAATCGATTGGTTAAAACATGTGGTTGACCAAAAACCGATTCGTTTGTAAAGTCAACCTTTTTTGATGATTTTTTGGAATATCTCGGCCAAATATTGTCCGATTTGGGAATTTTATACCATTTTGGACTCGTAAGGATCAGTACTATTGATTGGCAACAAAGAAATGAAAATCTAAATTTTCACCAAATCGGTCAAAATGGCAAGGGGTTACATCACGTTTTTTCTAAAAACCGGGGTCGGTTCGAAAATCAAAACTTTGTTGATGATTTTTTTTCAATATCTCGGCCAAATGATGTCAGATTTTGAAATGTTATACCTTTTTGAATTTGTACGGACCCCTACTAACAAATGGCATTCAAACATTTTAAAGATCGATGGGTTAAAAAAGTGGTTGACCAAAAACCGATTCGCCTGTGTTTAGTCAACCTTTTTTGATGATTTTTTGGAATATCTCAGCCAAGTAACGTCCGATTTGGGAATCTTATACCATTTTGGACTCGTAAGGATCAGTACTATCGATTGGCATCAAAAAATGAAAATCTAAATTTTGGTCCAAATCGGCCAAAATGGCAAGGGGTTACATCACGTTTTTTCTAAAAACCGGGGTCGGTTCGAAAATCAAAACTTTTTTGATAAGATTTTTTCAATATCTCGGCCAAATAATGTCCGAGTTGGGAATTTTATACCATTTTGAACTCGTCAGGATCAGTACTATCAATTGGCTTAAAAAAATAAAAATCTACATTTTCTTGTTAACAATCAAATTATAATTTTGACCGAACTTGACA